ACTGGTTCGTAGATCGCTTAAAATCCATCAATCTACCCTTCCCTCGAGATTTTTATCTCCTGGATCGATCGCTTTTATCGACGAGCGCGATATCAAACCCATTGCCGCGCACCAGATTAAAAATGACAGAAGTACCGGGGAGGGGGGGGGGGTTCAATTTTTCTATCGTTTCCGGCGAAAGAATTTCCGTTTGTCGATTTAACGCTTTTCCAATCGCGTAAAATCGGCCAATCTGCCTGCCCCGTTCGCCGCCACTATTTCACCTTTATCGGGGAAATTTCACGGGTCGAAGTTCGCGGAATAAAGGGAGAAAAGAAAGTTTAGATTACGGTACCGTCTTAAATCGAGCGTACGAGCGTACGGCCCCCTTTATGTTCCCGATACGTGACTCCGTACTCCGCGTTCCTCGAGACGTGCACGTGTTAACGTCAAAGTAAGTGATTCGCCGTGGTCCTACAGTCCATTCGAAATTCGTTTCCCTCCAATTTAAAAGCTTCGTCGACTGTCGTGGGAATTTGACCGGAATAAAACTCCGGGGATCCAAGATAGAGCCAGCAAGTAAATTTATCCTAAGTTCTTCGAAAAAGCTTCATAATATTTGCACGAGTAGTTTTCTAATTTCTACATATTAGGTCGAGTCGTAAGTAGCTTCCGTTTTTTTATCAGACATTTATTTTGCTCTCATTAAATAACAAAATTATATTAATTTATTATGTATTCACCACTATTCTATATAACCTTCGCCCATCTTCCTGGCAGTTTATCAATTCCTTCCTTGTAAAATGTGGTTGGTTTGGACTGGAAGAAGTTTTCGACTTGCTCTTCAGAATTGAAGGTTTTTCCATTGAAAAAGTTTTGCAAGGAACAGAAAAGGTGGTGGTCTGTCGGGGCAAGATCCGGGGAGTAAGGTGGACGTGGTAAAACAGACCATCCAAGCTCAAGAATTTTTTCTTAAGTCACCCTTGCTGTATGTGGTCGCGCATTGTCGTGTAAAAGAATGACGTTTTTGGGATTGGCGAGTGCAGGGTGCCTTTCATAGAGTTTCTCTTGCACTCTTTGCAACTGCTGAACGTATTTATCCGCAGTAATCGTTAAATTTGACTTCAACAACTCGTGGTGAATTATTCCTTGACAATCCCACTATACACGCAATAAAATCTTTTTGCCATGGATGTTTGCTTTTGGATCTGGTAGGGGTGGTTGATCCTTATCAAGCCACTGCCTTTTGCGGACTATATTGTCATAAGTAACCCATTTTTCATCGCCTGTTACAATCCTGTTTAAAAAAAGCTCAATTTTTACCTGTGAGAGCAGACTTGTGGCGATCGACACGCGATCTTCTTTATTCCGTTCACTGAAATTGTGAGGTACCCATACTCCTAATTTGGTGACTTTCCCTAATTTCTCCAGGTGGCGGTTAACAGTTGATTGTGATGTACTCGACCTTTCTGCTATACCTCTTGTTGATTGACGTGGATTTTGCTCCAATATTGCCTTTAAAAGGTTTCGTCAAAGTCGGAATTCGTCTTTTAAGGTCGTATCCCCAGAACGGAATTTTATAAACCAATTTCTAACTGCCCGATCAGTTATTAATCCTTCACCATATACACTGCATATTTTTTCAGCTGTCGCCTGTTTAATATGTACTTTTTGGCTCTCCATTTCAGAGGTTAAAAAAACCAGTTTAACGTAACGTGTATCTCACAAAACAGTTGACAAAAGACTAACTGAAGCCTCGTCTATATAGTGAAAAGAAAAACTTGTTGTCACGATAGCTCATAGCGGGTAGATACGAACGATAGATTCTACTTAGCTGCATCGGAAGTTGCTTATTACTCGACCTAATAACAATTTGACCAAGTCCCGAGAATAACCCAGAATGTATCGAATTGCAAATTGCTAAAAAAATGATACAAGACGATGTATCGTAGAACGATGGGACGATCTCGTGGGCGATCGGCGGAGGGCTGCTGACCTAGAGTCAACTCGGGGGCGTTTGCACCTTGAAATTGGACGTTTGGCGAATGTGAAACCTGTCGCAGGAACCGGCCAATAAAAGGAGACCGGGGTCTCTGAGTGGTCGGCAAGGTTAATGCGATTGGATGATTGGCTCGATTAGCAAATTGGCTGTCGACGTGTAGGACATTGGGATAAATGAGGATATGTCTATGCTGGGAACATGGCACCGCGGCAAATTGATGGGAAGGGATCGAACGACAGCCCCCGATGTCGTCGCTGATATATTATGAGACATGGTTTTCGATGGGAGGGCTTACGTGCGCGTGTCAGGTTTACGATTAACGTGGCCCATCCAGAGTTATGGCTGGCTTATCTAAAAAAAAAAAAAGAAGAAAAATGAATTTCGAGGCCCTCGATCCAACCTCTCTTTTCTCCTAAATATTTTATTCCGCGCTCGGAGTACAGATACCGTGAAAAATTTCTTAATAAGCGTTGGGGACCAACAGAGTAGAATTTAAAAAATATTTTTTCACTTTTCCGGTACAATCGTAATTTTCTATATTTCGTTTATCGTTAAATCTCGCAGTGGTCACAGTTTTGAGAGCCTTCTCTTGGGAACCGAATAGAATTTTCCGACGCAGAGAAGAATTAATGAACCAAAGGGGACTGTAAATCAAACGGAGAAGGAAATCGTAGACACGCGCGGTGGGTCGTCCGGAAGACGGGTTGGCCCATCGATACGCTTCGGTTTATTTCTTCTAGGTTGTCTGTAAAAACAGATTCGAGATGCATATCGATGCGTCATCGCGAACGTGGGCCGTGCGTCCGCGTAGGCGTCCGATGTTACCTTAAGTTCCGTGGGCACGTGTGGTCGCCCGGAGGACCGTATTGGGCGAGTGGCGCGTGGCGGTTGAGTTTCTTTTCCTGTCACCGTTCGTTGATTATTTCCAACGTCCGTTATCGCGTGGAAACACGTATAACCATATCGGGCAAGCTATTTCTACGGTTCCGTCGAAACTAGTTGGCTCGTTAGTCCGGTCCTCGTGCACCCAATAACCCTTTGTTCGTCGCGCGATTCCACGTTGAATCGCATTTCCCGAGACAAGAATTCATAAAAAGCATTTACAAGAAACTGGAAACGTATCTACGGTTATTACCAGCTGCGGTTAATATTCCGGGATTTATTTCGTCCCATTCACGGTGCATTTTAAGTCCGGTTTCCATTCAAGAAGGCGGTCGTGTAAGCGTGAAAAGGAAGACGTAGCAGAGTGTTTCGTCGAAACGTTGCGTCGAAGAAGCGTTCATCGTGTGCGGAAAAGATAAAGCAACAACCGACGAAGGGGAGGGGGGCCAATAAACCGCGAAACGTTATCCAGCCTACCGTTTATTAAACGTTTCAGTCTCTCTGGAAGAAGAAAAAGAAGAAAATAACGTACGAGACCGGTACATCCGGGCGGGAACTTTCTTTTATGCTCCCCTCGCGGTTCGAAACTACTTCGCCCACACGAAAGAGACGGGTCACACCCATTTAATTTCGCGGTTTCTCTTCTTTCATCTTCTCTGCTCAGGTTTCTCGAGCACCGCTGCAATCACCTTCCTCTTTCTCCGCGCTTCGTGCTCCGTCTTCTCCCAGCCGGGTCCTTTTCCCTTCTTCGTTCTCATTAGCCCCGGCCGTTTTATCCCCTTTGAATTCACCCCCGTGGTTGACCAAAATCCGGCCCGCGACCAGAATAACGCGTCGGCCCGCTCAATTCCGTCTTTATTCGACGGTGGATTCTCTCGATCGCGCACGCTCTAATTGCGGAAACACAATTAACGCCGGTAAATAGGCGACCTCCTTCCCCCCCACCACCTCTGTCCTTCCACAGGTTCATAATTAATTCCACGGCCGTCGTTATCGCGAGTAAACGAATCGTTCCCCTAGAAATTTTCACTGCTTTTCACCGTACAACGAAATTGATCTTGGCGGCTGATCGTTCACCACAATTTATTCGGTTGCCAGAAGAGTTTTAAAAACAGAGAAAACAAAGATTCCAAGTTCTTCGTGTTCGCCATATAATTTTTGAGGGGACGGTGATCCACGTTTGTTCCATTTTTTATCCCCAAAAGAAATCCCTGATAGTAAAAAGGAGGCTAGTTAGATTTCGATCACCTTCGCGTGCAACGGGGGTTATCGCAAAGGGATACCTAGCGGTGTCTGAGGGCAAAGGGGGGGAGGGAAAGCGATGGAACGAAGGAAAAAGGAGCGGTCGATCGGACACGGGAACGTATTCGAACCGTGGCTGCCTGGCATTCCTTGGCAAGGTAAAACGACGTTAGCGATGGGCTCGTGCCAACGCGTGTCGTTTATCCTTTGAACTGCGACGAAGTTACTTCCGGTTCCTTGATCGTTGCTCCTTTCCTGCTTCCTGCGGCGTTGCCTCCCGATTTCATTCGATTTCGTTGCCGCGCGACGCTGTTGCTTTATCGCTCCATTGCTTAACGACGTTCCCTCCGCCCTTTCCTTTCCTTTCCGTATAACAAACGAACAGTTTGTTACTGCTACTCGTTCGATCCACTGGCGCGAGAGTGCAATATTAATTACGGGTTTCTCTTACGGTCGTTCGAACGATCACATTTACAAGAGCTCTGACGCCCATTGACGCGACAAAGTGCCCGGTTTTTAATAATCGAATTTTTTTTAAAACCCACCGGGGATTGCCCGGAGCTCGTTTCCACGGAACGTAGAGAGAAATTTATCCGATCTCGTTAGCGGTGTATTACATATTATCGACGCGTGGTGTCCGGTTGGACGATCGCCAATCCCTCGAAACGATGCGCGAAGATAGATTTGCCCGCGTTATTCGAACGGTCGAAACGCCTCGTCGGAATTCGAAATGTGAGAAATCGTTGTGGATAGGGGCGAGGCGGAACGCAATTTCGTTGCAACGACGAGATCGAATTCCATCGAGCGATTCAATCCTTTCGTTCCATTCTTCAGGGAGGGGGACGACTGTTACCGCGGAAAGCTTTCTAACCGACCGAATTCCGTGTGCTTTCAGAGTCGGTGACGAGGTGACGACGACTACGACGACCACGACGAGCACGACGGAGACACACGAAGAAACGAATCAACCAATCATGGTTAAAAGCGACGAGAGGCTGCCTGGCACTTCCACGAGGCTGAGGACCAGGGACGACGGTTGCTGCTCCGTGAACTTCCTCAAATATGTTCTTCACATTTACAACGTGGTGTTGTTCGTAAGTATCATTCGGTTACGTCCTCGATGAATCGCCATAATAAACCTTTTAACACTTTACCGACCGATAGCCTATTAATCGACTGTTTTACCGGCCAACGCTTACCGACCGATAGCCTATTAATCAACTGTTTTATCGGTCGACGTTTACCGACCGATAGCCGATTAATCAACCGCTACCGGTCGGTAAAGTGTTAAGTATGATTTCGTGCGGTTCGGAATGCGTTTACAGCCAGAGCGTAACGATCGACGATTACGTCTGGCGCTGGGATTTTTCGGATCCCGTGCAATTTATAAAGTTCTAAAAAAGTTTACCGTTAGGAAAATTTCTTACTGAATTTTCTCAATTTGAAACGGGGCTTGTTTCGTAAACCGGTCGTATTCTTTCATGGGAATTCCGTTTTCAATTATTGAGTCGGTCGGGCCGAAACGTTGAAATGATTATCGAGCAGAAAGGGGTTGGGATTCCCACGCGTAAAGGGTAGTTACGAGACGCGTCTACGTGGAGCGAAGGAAGTATTCAGAGGCTGAGAGAAAGGGAGAATGGGCGTCGCAAAAATTAATGGTGCAATTTTCGCGCAGCCCCGTGGAGACCTTTCAGCCGCGGAAACAAGCTTTCGCTTTTCGCCTCGCGGCCGTGGCCGTAGTAAACGGGCGACCGAACATCCTGACCCGCGCGATGATACATCCCATAAAATGCTAATGAAGTTCGTTCGCGCCGTAAGGTGCAGCCGCGTTACGGCCAACCTGAATAAAAAGACCGGAGACACGATTGTGCTCGGGGAACTACCACGGGATTTTTTAACAGATTTTCGTTTCGCTTCCTCCAGAATCTCGAATCGGAATTTACCCAGTCTCCGGAACCATGGAACCTTGGAAGACGTTTCGAATTATTTTTTTTAGCGCGTCGAGTTTCCATGCAAATTTTTGATTTTTAAACGTACGACCACGTTGAGAGCGCAGCTGGTACGACGTAGGTACGGCACAATTTGTTTCAATTGCTCGTAACTGGTCAGAAGGTGGTAAGGTCAACGAAAAGTAGATAATACCACGGTATAATGAGCGTTTAAGAACACCGACGCATAAATAACGAGCAATGGAGGAACGCGTCCGTGTTCTCGATCGCGAGGATCGAGGAGAGGAGGGGGATCGAAAAAGGAAGAGGACGGTACAAATCGATCGGTAGCCCTCGTCGCGGTGCATCGCGATTTAATGCATAAAACGTCGTCGCCTCGTTGAGAAGCGGCCCCCAGCGAGTACGTTCGCGAGATTAAAAATAAGCAAGGGTCTCTCGTTCGAGCCTTGTACCTTGTTATTGCCGGCGCTTTTTCACGGCGGCTCATTTTTCATAATTTTAGACCGTTCGTCGAACAAGTGGAAACCGAAAGAAAGAAAAACGCGCGTAACTACGGCGTCTCTTCGCTCGGATGGCTGGGATTTTACTCGTTCGTCCGGAAGTATTTGTTCAACGAGCGAAGAAATGCTATTGTAGAAATCGAAATTGAAATCTGCTTTTAACGACGTCTTTATTTTGTACATATCGTTACACAGAAAAATAATCTGCTCAACGAGGTACAGCCCGAGGCTGCTTTCCTACCCAACCTTAAAGTTATTGTACAAACACAAACAGATTTAGCAAGGCAAGCAAGGCAGCGTAGGGTTATGGATCCGCGGAGGATGGCACGTCTGAAATCGGACGAGGGTTTGTCGCGTAAAAATAATCTCGTACAGCCTTCTTCTCAATGGTTTCACACCTCGAGAAAAGGTCCTTCGATAGAGTTTTACCAAATTAGTATTTATTAAGTCCGATATCAGCGAGGTACTTCTGTACTTGGCGACTTCCGCCGTGTCCAGACACTCGAGATTGCAAAATCGTCGCGCGATCATCGTTACGCTCATCGGTTATGAATGGCAGACTTTAAACTCGCCTCGTAATAAGGCTCGATAATGCGGGGATAATGCAACGATAACCTGGCCGGGAACAATGGCCGTGCAACAATGCCGGTCGCTGAACGCGTGCGTTTACAACCATTGATTGCTTTCGCAAGTGCAGTCACCCTTGCCGGATCGAAGTCTGAAGATTCGATGCTACTCGAGGCATCGAGCTGTCTCTCCTGGGAGCATGTAATTACGGGATTCCTTGGCTTCGAGCCTTTACTTCTGCCAGAATACTCGCGATTCGGGCCATAGTTCGCTCTTGTACCGGCTGCGTTCTCACTTTTCGCTCCTCGAACTCTTTTAACACTAAATCCACGAAACTAAACTAATTTCTAACACGCAATATTATTATTAGCGCCACTTACCTTCACGATATTTCTTACAGTATACGTACAATGAATTTTACAATATTCACTTCTGTTCTTATTGTTCGTTTTCTGAGAAAAGTATCACAGCATGATTTATATTTTTTTGTAAAAAAATAGGGCAAAAATTGGTATCAAATTCTGGTTAGTTTCCGATGTAAATAGGAAATATATGTATAGCAAAGACGAAAGAAAAGAATCTTCAGTTTCTACTGTCTTGGAACAGTCGAGCAACGCGTATTAAAATAGTTAAACTTTGGAAGCGTGCAGTTCCGAAACTGTTAGTGCTTTATCCATTATCGAGTCACCGTTAGGGGCGGCAAGGCCTCCCCTTTAAAATGCTTTTTGGTTTTTGTCGATCGGACTTTCCGTTTTCGAGATATCGTAATTTATGTAAAAGGTAATTTTTCTTAATTCGACTATCGCTGTCTCCGTCTGACGCGTCGCGCTCGGACCTCCTTGTCGCACGTTGACCCATTGACCGAGTGACTGAGTGACGTCACGTTTACTATTTACTACGAGCACGTGCGGTCAACGACCTTGACGAGGCCGTAGTAAAAAAGTAAACAAACGCTTCGGACCCTTATATCTCCGGAACTAGCCACCGCATCGACTTGAAATTAAAATCCTCATATCTCCGGAACTAATCACGCTATCGACTCGTACAAACGCTCGTTTTAAAGGGGATTTAATCCTCTATCCAATGACTATACCAGCTACTATAACTTTTGCTGTCTTCTATGTTTATTCTCACATTTACTTTTACGCTACATACCCAAAGTAGTTTCAGCACTTTCTATTGATCGTACGACTGGTGTGCGATAAAACTGGATCATAAATTGTTTCTTTAATTGAAAATTAATATAAATTTGTATACAAAAAGGTGTTTTGCATAATTACTCTGCCATGGCAAAGAAATGATCCTGGGGCTCTACCAATTTCGAATACACTCACAATTTCAAAATCGATATCCTTGCGTCAAACAATCAGGTATCGCACTCTATTCGAACGCGCAGTAAAAAACCATCGACGAAAGAAGTTCGTTGGATCAGCGAGCACGTCGGGAAGCTCGCGGTGACGGGGATGGAAATTAAGTAATTAGCAGCGGCCGTACGGGCAGGTTATTACGCGATTCCGATTTATTAACAACCGGAAATTACAGGTACAAAAAGCCAGTCGACCCCTTTCTCCGCGCCTCCGATACGGCGTATCGATTAATTAACCGTTCCGTCGATGATTTAATTACTCGCCGGGAAACGCGACGGATCTCGAGACGGTCAAAGGATACTCCACGCTCAGACGATCCGGATCGTTATTTCGCTTCTTTTTCCCCCCGGGGTTCGCGACTTTCGACGCGTCGTTCGATCGACGCAGGATCGTTGGTGTTTGGACGATGCGCGCTGAACTTTCCGCGAAAGATCACCGAGCGCCCAGGAAGGCTTAATTATACAGTTGGCAGGTTCGTCGGGCGAGCTACTAATTACCGATTAAGAATGGCCCCGGAGTATTCGGGCATGGTTGTTCGAGGACTCGGGGCGGTGCTCATTGTCGCGTCTGCTGCCATTCAGAAATGTCGACGTAACGCGTTATTAGCAACGTCGACTTAAACTTCGTCGCCCGCGAAAAATGGCGAAGAGGGTCTCTTCTTCTCGCAATCGTTGTTCGATCCATTTCTCAGCCGACGAATATATTTAAAAATTTGAAATCTCGTTCAATTTTGTTTCTTAAACAACCAGGTTATTAATTTGTCTTGAAAGTTTGCGGGCGAACCTGTTGGAGAACTAGTCTACCCGCGATTGCACGTAAGATCCGTGGACCGGAGTTCGTAAATTCTTCGTCCACGAAAACTTTGTCCCCCCCGGAAAACTTTTTTTTCTCCGCCGTCCGAAAACTTGGCTCGTAGAGCGAAGAATAACACGACGCCGTGTAACAGTTTGTCGAAGAAAATTGGCGGTGTTCCGATCCTCTTAGCCGGGCCCCTTAAGCCGGATTAATTTTAACGATCGCTAATAACGAATATCAAGGCACTTCCTTCGTGCAAAACCGGAGCGCATCGGTTCACGTAATAAAATACGATTATCTCACCGCGTGGTCCAATCGTATTACCGGGGGTCATTATAGTTATAATTCCGCGCGACCTGTTTAAGCCCGTCGTCGGAAGTTTTGAACCGTGCGATGCCAAACCGGGTTATATATGCAGCCATTAACGTACCGTAATTTCTACTCGGCTCTAAAACTAAACGGCGAAACGAACGACAACTCCGACGCCCGATCTACTCGACATATCGTCGAACGTTTCAACTTTCGATCGCTCGAAACTCGCCCGGACTCGATGGCAATTTCAAATTCCCGTTAGCAATGTTTGATCCGCGTTTGGAAACGTTTGTTCCGGTATGCGGTGGCAATTTTGTTACGTTTTCCCGGTCGAAGCGTATCGGTTGCAATTGCATAATGCCGATCCATAATCGAAACGAGTATTTTAAACGACCGAAATGATCGTCATCCGGCTTGTTTCCCGACGAACGATCCCAGTGGCCGTAGCAGCCGATGGTCGTCGGTTCGAACGTGCCACGGGACACAGAGCGCATTCCCAGGGGCACTTGCGTTTCCGTGGAGCTCGTGCGCACGTAGGCGCGTGCATGCCAGTGCATCGTCCGGCGACAGATCGCACTTGACGCGTTCGTCGATCGTGAAACAT